GGAGCTGGCTGGCATACTTGATATTTGATGTCGGATCTTCCGCTGCCATAGGGGTCATTCTGCTTTCGTAGAGTCCTGGAGATACAGCGTTGACCCTAATATACTTATCCGCAAACTCAGCAGCCATGATCCTCACCATGTGGTCTATAGCTGCTTTTGACAGCTGGTACGCTGGAACAAACTGATTATTGTGCACAGATGCAGGAGATGAGAAGCAAATGACACATCCTTTTCCATCCCCTTTCTGCGCTGCCTCGCCTAGCTTTTTAACTAGCCCACCAGTCAAAAAGTACATTCCGAACACATTCACGTCAAAGGTATCTCGAAAATCTTTCCATCCGATGGAACAAGTGGCCTCCTGAAGCTTCTCAAGAGATTCACCTGGAGAAAAAGTGACGGGGTTTTGTCTTCTGATTCCTGCACAATGAATGAGAATATCCACATTTTCGTAGTTTTCATTGATGAAGCTTACCAGCTGTTTATTTGACACCTCGTCACCTATGTCATAACACAAAGATGTCACTTTGCTAATAGAACCTGTTTCATCTTTTACTTTATCACACTTGTGAACCGTCTCGTCCAGACGATCTTGGAATAGGTCAACCACTGCAACGTCAACATTATTGGCTACCAAACCCTGGCAGATCATTTGGCCGAGCCCTGAACCACCTCCCGTTACGATGGCCTGTCTGCCTGCTATTTTGTAAAGCGATGGAATAGTAAATTGTGACATCTATGCTGTGACTGATTACTTGTTTGTATGGAAATGCCGAGTCTAATATTTCAAAAAGATAACGATAAGTTTTCATATAAATTATAGTCAATCCTGCCTCATATCTTTATATTAACAAGCAAGAGAATCATTAGCCAATAGCTGGAGCCTTTCCGGAATGCGCGAGCTGGCAAATAAAAAACCCATTGCCAAAATGCAACGGATCCGATTCAGATCAAGGTAGTGTCGCAAATACTACCGGTAAAAATCTTGAAATTTTATTTATCGCTTATCTCTCTCCTGCCCAATAGGACATCTAATTTATCGAAAATTATCAAGTCATAATAAGACCTGCTATTAGGTTACAAGTTTACTGTCATCATCTTATCTGCTCCTTTGCTGGATCATAATGTTCTCCTGCGGTGTGTGCAAAAAGAGAAAAAAGAAATGTGACTTCAATCTCCCGAGCTGCAAAAATTGCGAGTCTATGGGAACCATATGTCGATACTATGACGAAGGATTGGGAACTTCGGTCTCCAGAAGGTATCTAAAAAATTTGGACGATAAGATAAAGGAGTTAAAATACGAGATAGCCAAATATGAAAACAAAATAGAACGGAAGAATCTTGCACACTCTAGCACCAGCAGTGAAGAGGAAGCCAAGCAGCTACCTGAAACATCTGTAAGCTCTGGATGCTTTATAGAGGGGAGCAAGGATTCCTACTTTTTTGGGCCGGGATCTGTGGTCTCAATGGTTCACTCGGTGTCAAAGGTGTTGAACCTAACTGTCGAAACAAGTAATCTCAGCTCCATTGACAATTATACATCGTTTCCAAAGATAAAAGTTCCATTCGATTTCTCCATAATTGGCCATGAGCAGTCCAGATTGCTCATTGAGAACTACCTCAGTAATATTTATCCTGTTTTCCCATTGCTTCCAGAGAGCTTTTTTCATTTTGAGGTCATGATTCGAAACTACCCTTCATATGAGCAATTGTTCGTGCTGCTTATATTTCTCGTCTCTGCAACCCACCTGATGCGGAAACGAGTAGATTTTGCTTCTATCAAGATAATGATTCAACAAAAAGTAGCAGAGCTCATGAAAGACAAATTGAGAGATTCCGATGGTGACACTCTTCTCGCGTTAGTGTACTATGCTATCTATGAACTGTTGGATCCTGAATCAGGCTCGCCAGTATGGAAGACCCTTTCTTTAGCCTGTGCTTTGGCTGAAAAATTGAGATTCTCAAACACCGGGAACCAAGGTCCGATACCCGGAAGAGTGTGCAAACAAGTCCCTCGGATTAAATTACTGAAAGTGCTCTATGAGCTTGAAACCAGTGTCTCTCTTTGTCTAGGCAGACCTCCTTCAATTTATTTTTCGAGGAATCAAATCGGTCGTCTTGAAATTGACGATAGTAACAGCAGGACTGTTTTTGTCGAGCTCACAAACAGGATCGATCTCTTTCAAAATATTTATGGCAAACTCTCTGGATGCCCTATCTGCCGGGCTGAAGCGCTGATTGGGCAACAACTGGAGACAACAGCAACTCAATGGCTTACTGCTTGCTCGCTGCTCACTCATAGCTGTACTCAGTGTGAAGGATCTGGTTTCTACTTAAATGTTTTGCAATCTAGTGTTGAATGCATCAAAAATGCAAACCGAAAAGCTCAAAAGTACGCCCCATTATGTTTTTGGATAGAGATCTCCAACATTATGCTTTCTTTAATGAGCTTATTGATTATTACTAAGCTTCATCATGAAGTGCTAGAGAATTCCCCTTTCCAGTACAAAATTGTTGATGCCATTACAACCGGAAAGCAGCTACTTGCGAGATATTCAACTTTCTGGCCAAATTCTCAAGCACTACTTTCGTTCACGGAATTTGCATTGGAAAGCATGAATGCCCATTGATATGGATGTTAAGAAATACGTAAAAAAATAAAGCCGCTGCAACAGCCACTATACCCAATCCTGTAAGCCTACATATTCCTCCAGGTTTAATAAGCCATCAACTTTGAAACTGTCAGTCCAGCTTGATTGGTTGTTGATCGAGAGCAGAGCTGGCATAGACCTAGAATCTAAAATGCTACTGGGCTCATCTCGTGGAAGATGCAAACTTGCTTCAGGAGCAAGAACATCATTCTGGGGAAACAGTAGCTGCTCAATTTGGGCTGACACTTGATCGTCCTCTTCAAAAGTTTCATAACTTGACCTATTTTTTGCAATTGCAAATAATCGCTTTGAAGCCTTGAAATATATGTCTTTTAATGTCTGAATCATCTTTCCACGAGTTATATCGGGCCAGCGCTCACTGAATCGAAGAAGCAAATCAATGCATCCTTTGAACTTGGAATCTAGAAATTCAAACGTAAAAAAATCAAGTATCCAGTCACTTTGCGTCCATATAACATCTGCTAGATTCACAGCTGCTTCCTCAATATAGTAGACTCCCATTAAAAGATAGAAAACCTGGCCGCTCCTGGAGTCTCTCAGGTATTCGTCAATCAACAGAGCTAGCGAGTTGACTAGTTTCACATATGACGGACGAGGTGGGTTTGTGATTCTAGGAGTGCGTCGGCGTAGACGAGTTTGAAGGGATGCCTTGCAAATAAGTCTGAACCTTAGCTGATTGAGTTTGGCAAATTCTTCTGCTTTCAAGTACCATTTTTCGACTTTGCTGTCCATATCGTCCAGCCACTCTTCCGCATCAATATTTAGTTCCTTATTGAGCCAAAGTACCTCGTGCACTTCTGTCTCGTAAAGTCTGAACTGGTAAAAATGAAGAGCGGCAGCTTTTGTTTGCGGACCAGAGAGATCGATTTCCTTTTCTGTGATGAAAGAATCATCCACTGTAGCTGGTTTCTCTACTGAGATAAGATTGTCAGGTATTGGAAATGCAATACGCAGAACTGAGCTCAAATGTCGAGACATGGAGGTGGTGACCAGAAAAAGCCTGCGTCGGAGATCTATGTCTATCATAGTACTTGTTTCTATTTGCACATCCTTGTGCAGTCCAAGATCAAGACAGAGTCTGAGGCATTCTCGAATGGTGTACCAAATGTCAGCTGCATATGGGTTTGCAAAAGCATAATGGGCGATCAATAGGGTTATTTGAAGCTTTTTCAGTTTGCTTTCCCAATTTGTGTGGGCGAGTTGCACGATGGCTTGGGAAAAGAGAACGCTAGAAGACGATAAGCTTTTTCTTTCCCCTTTGTGCGTCAAAGTAGCTGCTGAGATTGCTAGAGCAATTGAAATAGCTGCATAATCATACGAACTGGCCGTAACTCGGGATTCAAAAACCTTGAACTGTATTTGTTTGAGTTCCAATCTTGATAAAATGGGGTACTGAGGCTGATGATAACTGGTATAATTCTGCATCAATATTTGTACAACATCCCTGGGAATACTGTAAAGATCAACCGGTGGATGCTCCTCAACAAATCGTTTCATGTTCCCCCTCTCCGAGTTATCCAACATCGAATCGAAGGGTGCAGGTAAACTACTTGAACGAAAGTAAAGGAACGGGTAGTTTACAACTCCTCTGTCGCATTCAGAAGACTCAAAAGCATCGACGAATGGTGTTGCCACATACCTGGCAAATGTCAAAGCCTGTTCTTCGGACTTGTCCAGAATTGGATTCACAGATAACTCGGCAAGTTTGATTTCCAGCTCGGCAACCCTATTTTCAAGATACAGGGCCAAACTTCGTGGAACCGGTTTGGACAGTCCTTTAATCCAGGCAAAACACTCGTGACCCTCTTTTTCGCAGTTGTTGCAAGCTGGAAACTCATATCGGCACTTTAATCTCTTGTTCTTACACCTAAAGCATCTGGTCGAGCTTCTTGCGTGACCGTCGTTGAAAACCTTGCGTAGTTCTAATGGGTTTGCAATTTCATCCATGTGTCGTCTCCTTAAATGATTTGTAGTACGATCTGGAAATGCAGGCGAGAATTTAAAAACATGCAAATAGATACAGTATTTAACTATCTTGTTTTTTAATTACATCTTTGGAGATTAGATAACACGATTAATATCAGTAACTTTTTTACAATGATGCATTATAAATGTATAACTGCTAAACCATTTCAACCCGGTAGACAATAGCATCAGATCAAGTCTCATCCAAAAAGTAAAGTAAAATCCTGGTTGTCGATTGGGGAGCATTAGAATTTTTCTAAAATATGTTGCTGTAGTCGTAACATAAAGATCAAACATCAACCTTCTCAAAGCTCTTTTAGACTGTGCCTACTCCGAATGATATTTATATAATTCTATAGACCACCCTTAAGTGTCAGCAACATCGTCGTTTTCATATGAGTAGGATAATTGTTCAGCACAGGCCTCTTGGGATATCCGAAAACACCTCTCCATTGTACCTGGATCTCTAGGCGTCAAGCTTATACCAAATTCTTTTGGCCAATATGTTTGCGCTGAACGGTCTGCAGCATATCCGATATAGTCATTGACTGGTGGACGCGAGGCATCTCTCTTAATTTTAAAAAGCATGCAGCTTCGTGCCAAAATGACATATAGTATTCTGATTGAAAGATTGACTGCTGTGCATGCCCTTGATCCAGCACCAAATGTGAAATGGTATGGAGAATGGTTCACGCTCGATTCGTATAGAAATCTTTCTGGAACAAACTCATCCACCGTGTCTCCAAAATGTTCTCTGTCGTGGTTTGCGGCTTGCGCATTTAAAATCACTGTTGTACCTTCAGGAATTGTAGCCCCATTCCACTGAAAAGCTTTTGCAGTTTTTCTAGCGGGAATCAAAGGAATAACCGCGTACATTCTGAGGAGCTCACGGATGAAGGACACTGCAAATTCACTTTTTTGCTCAAGCACCACCTGTTTCCATGCCTCCTCTACGGAGCCGTAGTGCTTAATGCAATCAGAATAGACTCTTTCTTGCCACTCCTCTCCCTTTTCTGTGGCAAGCTGGGCAAATATCAGAGCTCCGGTCGAACCAAGAGTTTCAAAGCCACCAGAGACCAATCCAACGCATATGCATTTAATATCATCCAAATCCAGTCTTCCATTGCCATCAGATTTTGCAAAATCTCCTACAATACTCACACGGTCGTCTCTGTGATTGAGTGCTTGCTGCGTGAGCTTTCGGAGCCACTCGTCTCTAATCCTACTGCACTCAACAGCGAGTCTGCTTCTGGGGTTTTCGGGCAAAAGTCTCATAATTGGAACATAATCTTGCAAATTCTTGTTTGTAGACCGAAACGAGGATATAGTTTTCACAATTTCAAGAATTTCCTTTAGAAGTTTGGTCCTGATATTGTCAAATCTCGTGGCATAGCAAAGCATAGTGGTGAGGTTGAGAGCAAGCCTTTGCGTATAAATGTAAGGATAAGCTGACTCGCCATTGGACGTATCTTGATACAGGTCACGCAATAACGAGTACGATTCCACATCGTACAAGCTTGCTCTTTCTTGAATCGCGGGTGTAGTCATATATCTTTGAACGTTGAGTCGCCTTTTTTTACATGTGTCGTTCCAAGGTGAAGTGCCTATTGTCAGGCCCTGTGATGTAGACACCAGCTTGTGAAAAGTATAGAGCAGAGGCCTATCAATGAGACAGGTTTGATTCTTCACAAACCAGTCCATCGCTGCTGAATATGAGTTGACGAAAATAATTCTCTGATTTCCGAATAGACATTGAAAGACAGGCATTCGGTATTTGAGAGAGAGTTCTTGGAGGTTTGTGGGGTGGTCGTTCCCTAGCTGTCCAAGATTTCCAAAAAGAAGGCTTGGACTTGGAAGATATGGAAGCCCATTTATAAATTTCGTTGTGGGTTTGATAGTGTATAGGTAAAACCACAACATCAAAGCAATTAAGGCTATTAGCATGCTCAGCGCCAACGCATTGCCCCATGGAAAGACGAAAATTGACATATCAAGAAAAACGAGTGCGTAAAACTTTGAATCAGATCTAAAGGTGTAGCTGTATCTTTATCTGTTGGCACAATTACTTGAAGCCTTCCCGAAAAAGCTCACTATCTCCTGCAATGAACAAATTTATGGCTAAATGAATTGTTTTCTGACCGAAACAAAACATGCTTTAGACGCGAAAGTTTCATGAAAACTCCGTACTATGCCATTACATGTCGTTCGACAAACCTGGAATTTTTTGCGGATGATAAGAAAATGCTTCATGTCTCAGATCGCGACGCGAAACTTGGAATAGTCGCAAAAGGGAACTGCACTTTTATGAATAGCTTATTATAGTCGGAATCTCTCGCAAGCATCCGACAGGATCCTTCTTTGAGCTTTGGTTACTGAAATGTTATTGCCGACACTCAGGACAGTAAAGGAAAAGGAGCTTGGGCCAAAGTCCCGGAAAGGAGTGTTTATTCAGTTTTGCGTCTTTTCCCGATAAGACAGTACTTTTTTCGGGAAATCACCCGAAAAATCTACTGATAAAGAGAAATTTGTCACCAGGATGAAGTTAATGAATGATTCGGAGATTAGTGTTTTCATTGTAAACGAAAAATCTCCAGTCCAGTATGTAACTAACTGGATAGCAGTAGGAATTGATGTTGAAGACATGGTATTAATTACTCTTAACATTCGCTTCGTATCTAGAGATCTACCTTATTTAATAAAGTAACAATAAAAAGAAAGCCATTCTCTCACGTCTAATCGAAGAGAAAGCGACCGGTAGTCACCCGATTTATTCCTATTGTTTTTGCTTAAGGCTCGGTCTTATACTTACTTATTAACGCCAGACGATGGAAAATATAGGTTATAAAAAATCAGACTGTATTCACTCAAACTTATTAAAAAGATATCTGTTTCGTGTTTTTTGAAACGCATTACTTGTGAAAATGTCCACTTCAAAGCCTTTTCCGGTTCCAGATCCAACAGCCTCCTATTGGCATTCCGAGAACGATACCTTTGTTCACACTCGCACAACTGATGATCTCCCATCGGAAACAGATGTGCTTATTGTTGGTGCAGGGTATGCTGGTGCGGCGTCCGCATACTGGCTTTACAAACAATGTCAAACAAGTCCTCTGAGTGTTTTGATGCTAGAAGCTAGGACAGTATGTTCAGGAGCTACTGGAAGAAATGGAGGACATTTGAAACCTGACTACTACCGCGAGTACCTTAAATTTGAGAGACTTTATGGACAGAAGGGTGCCGCAGACATTGGGAACTTTGAGCACGAGCATATATCTGAGATAAAGCACGTGGTAGAAGATCTCCAAATTGATTGTGATTTCGTTCTTACGAGAGCATGTAATGTCCATCTTACAGAGGGTGCAGTGACTGGATGTATTAAAGCTATGGATGCTCTGAAAAAAAATCCGTACTCCACTGTACTGGACGACATTCAAGTTCTTGAAGGAGAGAATGCAAGAGTGGTCTCTCAATTTCCAAAGTCACCGCTTGCACTAACATTTACTGCAGGACACCTATGGCCATACAAATTTGTGAAGGGTTTGCTTCAGTTTTGTCTAAAAAGAGGTCTCAACTTGCAAACAAACACTTGTGTTGACAACATTGAGACTCTGGAAGATGGTTCTTATCTGATAAGAACCGCAAGAGGCAATGTAAAAGCGAAAAAGGTTATCTTGGCAACAAATGCCTACACGTCGGCTATAGCTCCAGAGTTTGATGACAAAATTGTTCCCGTCAAGGGTACATGCTCTCACATCAAGTTCACAGCAGACAACGAGTATACTCCGTATTTGAACTATACCTACGGAATTTGTCGAGACTTTTCTGAGCACGAGTACTTGATCAATAGGTCTGATGGATCCATCGTTGTCGGTGGAGCTAAACCATTCTATCTGAAAGATAAAGATTCCTGGTATAAGAATGTCGATGATGCCAGTCTATTCAAAGCAGATATAAAAGGATGGTACGGTACTTTTATGCAGGATAACTTTAGCAGTTGGAAGGGAACTAAAACAGAAGTGGATTACTTATGGACCGGCATTCTAGGTTACTCTGTTGATGCTCTTCCTTGGGTTGGAGAAATGCCAAATCAAAAGAATAAGTATGTCTTAGCAGGCTTTCATGGCCATGGTATGCCACGGGTATTTTTGTCTGCTAAAGCAATATCGGAAATGATTTTGAAGGGATTGGCAGTCGAGGAGACAGACTTACCCCAGCCATTTATGCTGACTGAAGATCGTCTAAAACAGGCTAGAAACAATATTCTACAGGAGGCGGGATATTACAAGTATCACACTAAACTCTAATCTATGTTTCGAGGATTTTTTTCTTTCACCACTATACTTTTTGTAGCTCTATAAAAATGCCGATTTCATCAAACTGCGGCCCGCTCGAAAATCGGTTTCCCAAATAAGTTCATATCGAGTGGATGCCGATAAGCATTATAAAATTTTCGGAAACTAAGCACCAAATATAATTAGCACCTTGTGCACTACCAGCTTTCATTTTTGCGAGATTGATACTAATACAGACTAATTTCGCCAAGTCTTGTACTGAACATTGAATTCAAAGATTCAAGATCTCGATTTGCTGTTTAAATCACTGATTAATTTCGAGAATTGTGATGCCAGACGTTGTTTTTGATATAATAGGTACCTGTATCGGGTACGACGTGATGCTGGATGCAATTGAACGCAGACTGGGTACAAAGCTTCTCGATTATCATATCAACACAAACCTCTTTTTTGATGCGTGGGGAACCGCCTGTGAAAGGGACTTTTCTTACCTCTCTCAAATCGGAGATTACCAGCCCACAAAGAAAATTCTCAAGGCTACATTTTTCAGAACTCTCCATCATGCAGGTATTCCTGATCCGAAGAGCTTTGCTACGGAGGAAGATTTAGATTACCTGTGTGCTGAATGGCTCAAACTCAAGGCTCGCCCGGAGTTGGCGGCCATGTGGAAGTTGTTGAGAGACAACGGCTTTACCATATGGTGTCTTACAGATGGAGACAAGGAAAGAGTCAAGGGCTACTTCAAGAATTCCTCAATAGAAATGCCAGAGGAGAATATCGTTTCATGCGATAGCTTGAAGATTGGGAAGCCAGCACCAGAGGTTTACAAGTATATGCTTGAGAAAATTCCAGGAAAGGGAAAAGACGCGTGGTTTGCCGCTGCGCACATGTGGGACTGTCGTGCTGCTAAAAAAGCCGGGTTCTATACGGCTTGGACTGATGTGTACGAGAAATATCCTTGTGAGGAAATATTTGGTGAGCCTGACATTATCGCAGGAGGTCTTATAGACATGGCCGAGAGGATTGTGCAAAAATACCAAAGTCTTTAGCATTGCGTGTAAGTAATATTATTACACATTGTTATTCTTCCATTGATCTATAGGATTCATGAAGTAGCGTAGTGGATACCTGAAGGTGAGTATGAAAAGAGTATGTAGATTTCACACACACACACCCTTCACCCGATTTGCGCTCGCAGAATCACGGATCACGCAAAACTATTTATCGAAAACCTCAAAATGAACAAATATCCGATGCGATCCAGTTTTTTATCGGGGAAAAACCTGCATTATCAAAATCTGATACGGCGAAAAACATATAAATCTCCAGGTTCCATGGCTCAATAATAATCAAATGTCTGAATCCAAGGTGAAATCAACAGAAGTGGTCGACGAGGTTACTAGTGTGGAGGATTTTGAGCCTCTAGTTCAAACAATCAGGAAACTGGAAGAATCTGTCGAGGATGTTGGCTACAAGAGACAAATTACTGGTCGTCAAGTCCTTATGATAACTTTTGGGGCAGGTATCGGTACTGGTTTCTGGGTCGGTATGGGCTCAGCTTTAAGGCAAGGTGGTCCTTTTGGTATAGTCTTTGCTTATACAATCAACGCTTACATTGTTTATGTCATGTTCATTCAAACTGGAGAGATGACGGCCTATCAGCCTATTCACGGTGGTTTCATTAACCAGATTGACATGTATCTTGATAAAGCAATTTGTTTTGCCCAGGGAATTAACTTTGCTTTCAACTGGATGATTGTTCTGGCAGCAGAGCTTACCGCGGGTATTAGCATTCTTCGTTACTGGGATACTAATAACAGAGTGACAACTGCCGAATACATTGCGATATTCGCAGCAATCTACATTGCTGGAAATATTTGGCCAATCAGAGCTTACGGATACATTGAATACGTTCAATCCTTTATCAAAATCGTTGCGATGGCTGGTATCACTCTCTTTATGTTTATCGGAACCTGTGGAGGATTACCAAACACTGGACCAATTGGATATAAGTTTTGGAAGAATCCTGGCTGGATAAGAAATGGAATTCAAGGAATAGTGTTGGCCTTCTCACAATCTGGATTTTCTTTTGGTGGAGGTGAACATATCGCCATCGTTGCAGGTGAGGTGAAAAATCCAAGAACGTTTATACCTAGATGCACCCAGCCTATATTTTGGAGGCTCTGTGTGTTTTTCATTGGCAACGCTTGGCTGATTACAATGAATGTGCCGTATGATGACGAAACACTTAATAATGCCAGTGGCTCGCTTGCTTCGCCATACATCATTGCAATGAAAAGGGGAGGAGTGAAGATCCTCCCTGATATTCTGAATGCTCTGATTCTACTTTCCGTCATCTCATGTGGTAACTCCTCCGTGTACATTGGATCTCGATCGCTTGTTGCCTGTGCAGATTTGAAAGTTATTCACCCGGTATTTGGCAAGAAAGACTCTAAGGGCAGGCCCGTTCTGTCTCTTCTGACTGTGTTTGTGGTTGGTATTGCGCTGGCGTTCTTAAACTGCTCAAAAACTGGAGAGCAGGTGTACAACTGGTTTAACTCGCTGTGTGCCCTGAATGGATACTTTACTTGGCTTAGCATATACTGGTCACATTATCGCTTCAGAGCTGGTCTCAAAGCACAGGGTATCAACTACAAGACGCTGCCTCTTTACGACAAGTTTTTCCCGTGGACAACATATACTGCCACCTTCATTATCATTGCCCTGTTTATAGGACAATTCTACATTGGATTATATCCTCTTGGAGGAAATTCAATGTCAGCTGCAGACAGAGCAGAGAATTTCTTCCTGACCTACCTCTGTGTTCCTCTGTTTGGCCTCTGCTGGCTTTATTACAAGCTCAGATTCAAAACCAAACTGGTGAAACCCGAAGACATGAATTTTAGCTATGCCAAAAAGTGGAACGAGATTGAAGAGTTGCGAGCCACCGAGAAGAAAAAACCGTCTAAAATTGGCGTGTTTATTGAAAGGTACTTGGCATGATTTGAAATAAGACTTAATTAAATATTTGCTTTCCATCTTTCTTGTACACGCGGCCGTCTTTCATTACAAAGGACACATGTCGCAAGGCTTTAGGGTTCTGCCGAGGGTCTTCATCAAGAGCTACCATGTCGGCAGCGGTTCCTTCCGCCAACCAGCCAAACTTTCTGCCGCACTGATCGCCGCCAGATGCCAACCAGCCGTGATACGTCAATGACCTTAAAGTGTCTTCGAGCGGAATGCCCGCCTCCAAAAAAAGCTCTGCCTCTCTCACATTTTCCCCGTGATTGAAAGTGCCTGTATCACCGCCACATGCTTGAATCAAACCCATCTTCCAGGCTTCGTGTGTCTTGGCGAGCAGGCCTGGAAACTTTGGCCCATACAGCCTTTCGGCAATGGTCAAAGTCGGCACCAGAATGCAATGATTCTCCTTTAGCACTGCCAAAGTGTCTGTGTTGCACCAAAAGGCGTGTTCGATGGTGTTGGCACCGGCCCTTGCTGCCATAACCGCGCCTCTGTTGGTTGCACAATGCGCTGCAACAGGACAATTTGCGTTTCTGGCTTCTTCGCAAATAACGTTCATTTCCTTCTGCGTGTAGAGCACCACATCCGGGTTGGGATTCTCTGGAGGGAACATCACCGAAGAGACATATGGGTGAGGTATGGCCGGCGGATACCGCATGATACGCTTGCGGTAGTCTGCAAAGAATTTGACTACATCGCAGCCAAGTCCAATTCGCCGTCTCACGGCTTTCCTAATTTCGTCTTCCCCGTCACACTCTTCACTGGTCACTGGCATTCGTGTGCCTCCAATTGTATTTTCTGTGTGCGTCTTGATGCCAGCAACGGACGCCAACACCTTTGTGGCGACAAACAGCCGTGGACCCACGGCAATGCCTCTATTGATGGCGTCTCTGAAATTCGCGTCTGCCTCCTGCATCCCCTCCGACCCTAGGTCTCTGTAAGTAGTATAACCAGCCATGAGAGCTGTTCTGCAGTGATTGGTAGCTCGAATGACCCTTTCCACAAAACTCTCGTCCCGCTTCTGTTTGGCATTGTCGGCCTCGTCGTAGGAGTGAAGAAAAATATGAGTGTGCGCGTCCACAAACCCAGGCATCACGATTTTGCCTCTGAGGTCAATGTCGGTGCTGGAGACTTGCAGATCACTCCCTGAGTGTAGGACTTGCGTAATCAAACCAGTCGTTGGGTCCACTTTGAACGAGACGTCCGTTAAAAACTGGCATGAGAGAGAATCAAACACCGTGGACGTGTGAACATAGAACGGATCTTTCTCTGAGCTATTTGCCGACTTTGGTGGCTGTGTGCAGCAGGTACAAGACATACTGAGACCGATTTACCTTCATATATTTATACTGTCCCATTTGCGACATTCAAAGTACGATTTTCGCTAAACAATCTCCTCAAAAGTATGCCACGGCGCAGTTACGTACCTTTTTGGAGACGCCTTACCTATTCTGGAAATGTCGTCTACGTCCTCCACTGAGAGCTCCAGAATGTTCAAGTTCTGTTCCAGCCGGTCTGGGGACGACGAGCGCGGGATGACTGGCCATCCCTTTGCTACACCCCAGCTCAACAGACATTGCGCCACCGTAGCATTGTTCTTTTCAGCAATCACCTGGAGGTCTGGATCGTGGAGCAGCGCAGACCCTGTTGATCCTAGAGGGCTGTAGGCCACGAGCTGAATTCCTTTTTCTTTACAGTACTTGTGTAGCTTTTCCTGATTCAACGAAGGATGTAGCTCAACCTGGTTGACTAGCGGCAGCACGCCTGTGAAGCTGATGGCTTCAAGCTCTTTGATGCCAAAATTGGCGACGCCCAATCCCTTGACCTCGGGACGACGATTTTGGATCTCAATCATCGTTTGCCATGTTTTCACATAGTTCCAGTCCTTTTCGAAATCCACAGTGCCATCAGGCAACGTGGGACACTTGGGATGGTTGCCGTGATGGTTCAATGGCGAGGGCCAGTGCATCAGCCATAGGTCCAGGGTGTCTGTTTTTAGCGCGGCAAGCGTTCTGTCTAGGCACTCCTCAGCAGCAGAATGCCAAGTGTTTGCAAGTTTGTCCACAATGAATAAGTCCTCGCGAGATACGCCGGATTGCTCGATCGCTTCTGCGACTAAGGCCTGGTTGCCATACGAAAACGCGCAGTCTAGCATGCGATAGCCGCATTTCAATGCGTGCACTATAGCTTCCCGTCCTTTACTCCCATCTAGCTGCCACGTACCAAGACCCAGAGCAGGGATCTTGGCGCCGTCTGCCAGTGTAAACTGTCTTGACGACATGAAAAGCTAAAAAATAACTAAAAATGAAAAATGAGTTCACCTAAGTTACATTTATAGTATAGGATCGGCTACAGATTCTAGGTCACGCACACATTGAGCAAAAATCTTGACACCCTCAGCAAGAAGATCCTCTTCAATTGTTGGCGGTGGGCATATCCGGATACGGTTGCCACCGGACGCGCTGCTGACCATTAGCCCTCTCTTGGCACACAGACTCCGCAGCCTTGGTCCATTGAACTGCGGTGTCACATATTTAGGGTTTAGAATCGCTGCGCAAAGCATACCTGCACCGGTAAGACCAGAAACTTGAGGCAGGTTCTCGGCTTTGAGCAGCTCTCGCAGCAGTTTTCCTTTCTCTTTGGATTGCTCAGCAATCCGTTCGTCGACCAGGACTTCTAATGCCGCAACTGCTGCCGCCGTGGCTGGTGGGTTAGCTGCCATTGTGGACCCAATGTCGCCACCGTCGATGATACCCATCACGTCTGCATTGCCGCACACAGCAGATAGCGGCGCGACGCCCCCCGCTAAGGCTTTACCGAGACACACTAGGTCAGGTTTCACCCCAGAATGCCAGCTGTGCAAAAGTTCTCCTGTTCTTCCCAGACCCGTTTGCACCTCGTCTGCAATGAAAAGCACATCGTACTGTTTGCATAAATCATAAGCCTGTTTTAGATAACCCTCTGGAGGATCAACGATTCCGGCAGAACCTTGGATTGGTTCCACCATGAACGCTGCAATAACCTCGTGGTCTTTTTCCAATGCTTTCTTGAGGCTTTCTATATCTCCATACTCGACTAATACGCCAGATGGCGAGATTGGGCCCACGCAGGGCACGTACGGACCAAACACGTCTTCGGGAGCAGAGGACAGGGAATGCGTCGATATCGTAATCCCATGGTAGCACGCAGATGCCGTGAGTACAAAGGCTTTCCCACTAGGAATACCCTTGATCTTGTAACCCCATTTACGGGCAATTTTTGTTGCCGTGTCCGTGCTGTCGGCTCCAGTACACATGCATACGATACTATCGTATCCAAAAATTTCTTTGATCTTGGAAGCAAGTCTTGCATAGCTAGGATTGACGAATGCTGTGTTGGCCATTGGGCAATCACGAATTGCTCTGCTGGCAGCTTCCACGATTTTGGGGTGAGCATGACCCATGTTGGCGACGGCAAAGAACGAGAGAAAGTCTATGTACCTGTTTCCTTCCACGTCCCACAAGGTGGCATTGCGAGCCTTTGTAAGCGCAATTGGAAGAGGCTGGAAACCACCCTTGCAGTGTTCGTATTCTTTCAATATCGCACGAGTCTTGTCTGTGAAATGAAGTTCAGGCATGTAAGTTAAATTTTTGGACATCGAATTTTATTTATGAGTTTGCGACAGTGTCGGGAACTCTGCCGGAAAAGCGTCCAAGCGACTCCAATGATGGAATTTCCGACAAAATGCTAACGGCTATCAGAGGAGGGAATAATGTGAGGTTCGCCAAGGCTTCATCTAGTTGATCAAAGCAAACAGGGCACATGATACGCCTGGTATCATTTATTAGCTCTGTGGCTTAATAGACTCCAGATAAAATGACTGGCCGAGTAAAACTTCCTCAAACTTCATGATAATCAAAAAACCTTTATCGCAAAACGTACGCGAAAATGAATTTCCCTTATCGAGAATTAGGCGATTAAAGATTTTTACAAAATAGGAAAAAAATCGGGTAAGATACCACGTTTTTCATTCCAGGGGATGTGCAGAAATGTGTTCAACTGACGGGGCCGATGGTTCAGCAGATAGACATGGACATGAAGGTGGGTATGGAGACTGACAAATAAGAAGTACTAGAAGGACGAGACAAGAAGCACGTCGGAGTGCGTAGAATGGCAGGGCAGAGCATTTGGTGGGTATGACTATTTGTGAGTTCATGGGTAGCATGCTGGGGTTGATAGACACAGCGCTATAGGTAGTGAGAAAGAGATAGGTAGAGAAGCAAGAGGGCATATGTAAGAGAGGTAAGAGGTAAATGGAGGTATTCTATGTTAACGAGAATGTAGTGCTGAAGGGGTGAGGGGTGTAGAGGAGAGGTGAGTAGGGAGTGGGGAGTAGAATTAAAAAGGAGAAAAAAATAAAGTTGGAGGGGGGAAGGGGAGGGAAAAACAGAAAAGCAGGCAGGGGGGAAGAAGAGGAGGGAGGGGAGCGGAGGGCCAAGAGTGTGGTGGCGGGGTGGCGGGGTGGCGGGGTGGCGGGGTGGCGGGGTGGCGGGGTGGCGGGGTGGCGGGGTGGCGGGGTGGCGGGGTGGCGGGTGGCGGGGTGGCGGGTGGCG